AACTTCTTTCATCGGAAATGTCGTTGTTCATTCCATTTGATGTTGCTGTCTTTACTATAATAAACTTTAGCAGTGCCTCATTTTACGCTTGACCAAACCACACATTTCTGGATGTAGGCATTTTTCCCAAGGTCCCAAGCAGACAGTGGGCATAGAAATGACTTCCATTTCTCCCCATACTTTCTTTTGATGCCATTCTTTGACCCATTCACTCAGGGTGTGGAAGATTGAATCAGCCAGCATTATCTTTATCTACCTTCTAGACAGCTTTTTTGAAGGTGAAATTTAATATTGTTATATTTCCATCCTCTGTGGCTTCCATCAAACTGAATCACACTATTTCAATGGAAATTCCTGAAACTTTGACCAGGAAGATATTGGTATCACTAGTCATTTTCTAAAAATGGCTCTGTTGTTTCCTCTTTTACTGGTTTATAAAGTATTTCAATCTGAACTCAGGTAGATGAGGAAGTACATGCAATCTTGAAAATATGTATGTTCCCCAACTTGTGACTTTGACACAGTTTATATTTCATGTGAAGAAGAAATCACAGTTACTTTGCACAGGAGTTAATTTTAAGAAGCATTTGACTAGTATGTGTATATACTGACATGGAACTCATCTGAGATAGATCTTCTATCAGCTCTTACAAGCTTAGAATATTAAAACTTCCTCTTGCTATTCCCCAGATAACTTGACTTTGTTTTTATGTGCCAATAGGCCATATAGTAGGTACTAGAAAGTAATCCTGATTTCAGATAACTTATTAATTTGTTTTATCCCTTAGTTCAGAAATGTTCCTCATTTCATACTTCTTGGATTATCATATATTAAATACTTAAAATTATATATGAACCATAGTGGCAAAATTGGAGATTATCCAGTACTCTGGCTCACTGGTTTCTCTGAATGATTTACCATAGATCTACCCTTGCAGTTCATTTACTTCCAGGTTATTCAATGGAATTCTATTTTAATAAAAAAAAAAAGCCTCCCTACAGACAAACACTCAAACTACTTCAATGTGATAGTTCTTGGCAGGACTGCACATTGAAACTGCAATTTTAAAAAAAGAACAAAGGAGATCTAGGAGTAAATAGGGAAAAATTGAAATTACTGGGCTTTTTTTTAATAATGGGATGTCTTTGAAACATAAAGGACATGACAATGATTTCTCAAATGTCAACAGATGAAACAGTCCTGAATTGTATATAATAGCAAAAGAAAAGTGTTAATATTAAAATTATGAAAAGAGGTATTCCAAATGAAAGTGTTTTGACTAGTGGTGTTCTGGGAAATGTTTAAAAACAAAGCTTGGGGAGAAAGAGGAAAAGCCCTGATTCATGAAGTTTGCCAATTTCCATAGTGTAAATATTCCCAACATGATCAATTTCAAGCTCTCAGCATGAAGTCACTGAACACAGAGTCAGAAAGAAATGCGCCCAGTGATTCTCATGAGCCAGTGAAAGTAATCTCCAAATGATATGGTGTGGCTCTGTGCCCCTACTCAAATCTCATCTTGAATTGTAATCCCCATGTGTTGAGAGAGGGAAGTGTTTGGATCATGGGGGTAGTTTCCCCCATGTTTTCTCATGATAGTGAGTGAGTTCTGATGAGATCTGATGGTTTTATAAGTGTTTGATAGTTTGTCTTTCATATGCACTCTCACCTGCCACCATGTAAGAAATGCTTGCTTCCTCTCCTGCTGTGATTTTACATTTCCTGAGGCCTCCCCAGCCATGCAGAACTGTGAGTCAATTAAACCTATAAATTACTCAGTCGTGGGCAGTCTTTTATAGCAATGTGAAAATGGACTAACATAGTTAATTAGTACAAAGAGTGGGGTACTGCTATAAAGATACAGAAAACATGGAAGCAACTTTGGAACTCGGTAATGGGCAGAGGTTGGTAGAGTTTGGAGGGCTCAGAAGACAGGAAGATGTGGGAAAATTTGGATCTTCCTAGGATTATTTAATGGTTTTGACCAAAATGCTGATAGTGATATGGACCATGAAGTCCAGGCTGAGGTGGTCTCAGGTGGAGATGAGGAACTTCTTGGGAAGTGGAGCAAAGGCCACTTTTGCTATGCCTTAGCAAAGGGACTGGTGGAATTTTGCCCCTGCCCTACGGATCTGTGGAACTTTGAACTTGAGAGAGATGATCTGAAATAGGAACTTAGGTTTTAAAGGGAAGCAGAGCATAAACGTTTGGAAAATTTGCAGCCTGGTGATGCAATAGAAAAGAAAAACTCATTTTCTGAGAATAAATTCAACCTGCTGCAGAAATTTACATAAGTAATGAGAAGCTGAATGTTAATCACCAAGACAATGGGGAAAATATCTCCAGGGCATGTCAGAGATCTTGGTGGCAGCCCCTACAATCACAGGCCCAGAGACCTAGGAGGGAAAAATGGTTTCTTGGGCCTGGTCCAGGGCCACTCTGCTCTTTGCAGACTCAGGACTTGGTGCCCTGTGTCCCAGCTGCTCCAGCTCCAGCTGTGGCTAAAAGGGACCAAAGTACAGCTTAGGCAGTTGCTTCAGAGGGTGCAAGCCCCAAGCCTTGGTGGCTTCTACATGGTACTGGGCCTGCGTGTGCACAAAAGTCAAGAATTGAGGTTTGGGAATCTCCACCTACATTTCAGACAATGTATAGCAATGCCTGGTTGTCCAGGCAGAAGTCTGCTGCAGGGGTAGGGCCCTCATGGAGAAACTTTGCTAGGGCAATGTGGAAGGGAAATGTGGGGTCAGAGCCCCCACACAGAGTCTCCATTGGTCACTGCCTAGTGAAGTTGTGAGAAGATGTCACCATCCTTCAGACCCCAAAATGGTAGATCCACTAGCAGCTTGCACTGTGTGCCTGGAAAAGTCACAGGCATTCAATATCAGCCTGTGAAGGAGCTGCCTAAGGCTGTGGAAGCCCATCCCTTGCATCAGCATGCCCTGGATTTGAGACATGGAGTCAAAAAACATTATTTTGGAGCTTTAAGATTTAATGACTGCCCTACTGGATTTCGGACTTGTATGGGGCCTGTAGGCCCTTTGTTTTGGCCAATTTCTACCATTAGGAATGGAAGCATTTATCCAATGTCTGTATCCCCGTTACATCTTGAAAGTAACTAACTTGCTTTTGATTTTATGGGTTCATAGGTAGAAGGGACTTGCCTTGTCTCAGATGAGACTTTGGACTGTGGACTTTTGAGTTAATGCTGAAATGAGTTAAGACTTTGGGGGACTGTTGGGAAGGCATGATTGGTTTTGAAATGTGAAAAGACATGAGATTTGGGAAGGGCCAGGGACAGAATGATACTGTTTGGCTCTGTGTCCCCACCCAAATCTCATCTCAAATTGTAATCCCCATGTGTCAAGAGAAGGACCAGTAATACTCACATGTAGAGAGAGGGAAGTGATTAGATTATGGGGGTGGTTCCCCCATGCTGTTCTCATGATAGTGAGTTCTCATCAGATCTGACGGTTTTATACATGTTTGACAGTTCCTCCTTCATATGCTGTCTCTCCTGTCACCATATAGGATATGCCTGCTTCCCCTTCTGCCATGATTTTAAGTTTCCTGAGGCCTCTCCAGCCATGTGGAACTGTGACTCAATTAAACCTCTTTTTTTTTCTTTTTAACAAATTATCCAGTCTTGTGCAGGTTTTTACAGCAGTGCTAAACAGCCTAACACACCAGAAAACCACTGGGATAATCTTTACAGCATTTTAAAAAGTGGTTACTAGGCTAGATAAGATCTAATTGGTAAAGGTAAAAGGTGTCTTGTGCCTAGTGGTACTCACTTTCACATTTAAAGTAATGAATGAGGCAATGTGGTAAAGTTGAAAATGATTGAGATCATAAAATCAAAAACTCACAGATTTGAATCCCAGCATCGTAACCTAGTATGCGATTTTAACAAAATTACCTACTTTATCTGTCTTATTTCATTTATTTATTTTTAATCGACAAAAACTGTATATATTTATGGTGTGCAACATGAAATATGTATACATTATGGAATGGCTACATCAAACTAATTCACATATGTATTACCTCATATATTATTTGTGTTAAGAACTCTTAAAATCTCTCTTAGCAATTCTCAAGTATAGAATACATTGTTATTACCTATTGTCACCATGTTATACAATAGAGCTCTTGAACTTATTCCTCTTATCCAACTCATATTTTTGTGATCTATGACCAACTGTCATTCTCCAGCCCCTGGTAACCACCATTCTATCCTGTTTCTTTGAGTTTAATCCTTTTTGATTCCAAATATTAAGGCTTCAATTATCCATCTGTAAAATACTGCAAGATTGGAACTATTTAGCAAACATCTTAAAATGATTAAAAGACACAATAAAGCCAATAAACATGAATGTATCTGGTATATAAATAGGAATTATTATTTTTCTTCCAGCTTCTATACCACTTGTTTCCTTCTAGCTGTCCTTACTCAATAGAAAATATAAATTGAAGTCAGAATATGAATTATAATTAGCAAGGGAATGATATGACTCTAGTTGTTAATATACCTACGTAGCTACTTGAAAATTACTCTTATATAGGAGGGAGAGTTCATGAGAAATGCAGACACCAAAGGAGGAATTCAATACCAAAATTCATTTTCCTTTCCATCTTTGACAAAATTTAAAAAGCTATGGGCAATGACACATGGATAATCTTCATGACCCGATTTTGTTACTTATTATTGTGTAGCCTCTATGATTCAGGAAAAGGAAGTCAAAGAATGTGGAAGGGGTATTGAGTGGGCCAACCTATGGTATTTGCCACAAAAATACAATTCTGTAAAAGGTGGGAATGATGTGTCATGGGAATTCATGAAAGAAAATAACTTTTGGCTATAATAAACAGGGGTGATTTTAAAACCTGACATTAAAAATATGTCTGCAGTGTTTTAATGAATGAAGATGGTCAGATTTAGAAGATTGTGGGTGAATCAAAAAAAAAATATATATATATATATAAACTGATACAGAAGTAGAAAAGATTAATTTTTAATTAAAAGGTAAGTCGCTTAACATATTCCAAATGCAAAGTAAGCTTAGGGTAGCATCAGGAAGTGTACTAGCTTGGTACTAGGTTAGCAAATGAGCCTATGGATCTGTCTTTTATTTCCTATATAATGACCATATTTGAAGATGCATACACTGTATTAACTGCTTTATTTATGTTTTATTTAAATCCCAAATGATACTAAAAAGAAAGCATCATGCCATTTGTATAGAAGAAGGAACTGATGACCAGTTTACATTGATGATCTAAGGTTATACAATTTATCACTCAAGAAACATTGAAAGTTTTTGACAAGGGAAGTAACATGATGGAAAATGTAAGTTCCTGCAGTTATTTGACATTCTCAAATTAAAATTCTTGCCTTACTTTACACTGAAGGCAAATTTAGAAGCTATTGATTACTATAGATGTCAATGGTTTATTCTTCATATAGCATATGGTAATGTCTTAGTAACATTCCTTCTAAAAACAAGAGTGACACCCAGCCCCCAGCATTTCACTCACCTCCCTCGTTGCAGCATATCAGTGAAGGGGCTTTTGCCTTTTCTGGTATATAAAACAAAAGTTATCTAGGCAATTATTAAATGCAAGTTTTCATTGAGGGATAAGTTAATCCATCTACTCTCATGAAATGCACTAGTTTAGATTCATTTTTCAGTTTCATGTGCAGAGAAGTGAACCTTGAGCAAATTTGAAACATGACAGGAAAATGTAATTAAGGAAAGAACTAAGTTTCCAAACACAATTCTATGCAAGAAGAGGGGCTTAATTGAGTGGCTATGGAAATACCACTCTCTTCTGAGTGTTCTTACTGAAATCTTCAGTCACCTCCAAATTGATAAATGCACAAAACAATCTTCAGCCCTCATCCTGTCTTATCATTTGGCAGCATTTGACCATGACTTACAGAAACTATTTCTGGAAATATTTTTAATTAGTTTCTATAGCAATGCTCTCCTGACTTTTTTTTTTACATTTTAAGCATTGTTTCTATATTTTATAGAATTTGTTAGCTTGTTTGTTTTTTGTTTTGGTAGTACTTGGAGGTCAACAGGAAGTGGCAAAAAGCAAATGGGTAAAAGAGTGAAAAATCAAATATTCTTAACCTGATGTAAACATTCTTTACAATCTGGCCCCGTGTGCATTTCCAACTTTACCTCTAGACCAGATTAATTTACCATTTTGATTTTCTCAGCTCAGAAGTACTTAACAATCATATTCTCAATAAAAGCTACCTAGAGTGTCTGCAGAAATTGCTAATTAATTTACTGGGATTCTACAGCTGTTATTTATATAAATTTATAATTGAACTTACTATATGTATGTATAGTTTATGTCTACAAAATATCTCCCCCATCCTCAGTCTGAATGAGCAAAGAACATGCCTTTAATCCTTCTGTATGTAGTGACTAGTGACTAAAATAAGGTTAACAGAATCAGCAAATGCATGTTTAACTAGAAAATGAAAGCTCAATGAACTAATACTACCTGATCTTCTTCTTAGTAATACCATCTTGGTCAAGTCTCTAAACTTTTTTGTGTTTTCGTTTACTTACCTGAAAAATGGATATAATAATTATGCTCCCCCCTTTAAAATCTCATAATATTTTGGTATCAAAATAACAATATTGGTTACAAAGGTATTTATAAATGTAAGGTATTATGTGTAGAAAAATAGACCAATTTGAATGTCAGGAGCTTATAGTTTTACTAAAGTTTCAGATAGCCACACATGCACGTGTGAGTGCACACACAAGATATCCCACAAATAAAATGAAATGTTGCTGGATTTCCTATCTTTATTAATTCTTATATGTATCAATGTGTGGAAAAATTATCAACTTTGCTGATTTGGTACCCCCATACTTGAATGCTATCATGGGGGAGACAGTTATTCCATTTGACAATGTGTTTTAAATCATATTAACCTACATCATTATTATCTTATATTTTAAATTCTTGAAAGATGATAAGTACATCTCTGTATAGTGTGCAGTATATCATTATACAAAAACAGTCAATACCAAGTGTCTTGGATAGTGAGAATAACTTTCTGAATGGTAATAGACATGATCAAAAGCAATACAAAGTTGATATTCAATTAGAAAAGTCAGGCAACAGTTCTTACCATTCCCACTGCAAATTCCTACACAGAATGGTATGCATTTTAGCTAGCAAAACATTATTTACCAGTCCTTGAAACCGTACCAGTCGGGAATACTACACTTGTTGCATTACTGAGTGCTCTGACATTTTGTTGTCGTTTTGAATATGAACTAACCAACACTTTCGGCAATACTGCAAACTTAAATTTTACAAATGAGACACATAGCTTAAATGTGACTTTGCTGCTGTTGTGAGCAATCTTGTAGATGCCTTTACTCCAAGTGACATAAAGAAAGTTTAAATTTAAAAAGTTAAAGTAGACAAATGGTAAGACTACTGAGATGATGTAACTGTATGGCAAAGTTTTCATCATTTATTGGTTTGCCGATGCCACCTCAGTACTATTGCTCATGTTATTGACGAAGTTATGCTATATAAAGCACAGCTCTATCAAATTCAAGAGAGTTAGTAGAGAAATATTTTTCATCAAAGATGGAATTGACAAGTACAAATTCTGTGGAAACTGATAACCTTCAGATATGGCACTCTACAATTTTAGGTTTTAAGAAAAACAAGAGTTATTGTAATTTATCCTTGGCTGTTTTAATGAATTATACAAACAGTTTAACTTTGGGGATTCTGCACATACTATTTGCATCTTGTTGAAGAAGCTCTCAGCAAAGAGACTTTGGCTAAGATGTAAAGCAGCCCTCTGAATGAATCATACCACCTGCAAAGAGCTGTACTAAATACATTCATATATATGACAAAAGCTTCAAGTTTTTTCTAGCATTTACATTATCGATACAAATCAACATACAGACCAGAGAGTTTTAAACATAACAGATGCACAAGGGAATGGGCATAAAGGAAGGGTGACAATGGAGCAGCTTCAGGCCCACTGTTTGGCACAGCAGGGTTGCATATTTCCTATGTCAATTGAAGAACCTAAAACATACCTCTATTTAAGCCATCCTGCCAAGTACTGCACCAAGAAAGCTACTTGCAAAGTGAGGCTTCTCCAGCAGCAGAAAAATCTGGGGAGCAGTAGGAATGGTGGAAGATGATGGCTCAAACCTAAATGTCATCCTAGATGTGCACCTGATCCACAAGAGACCTGCAGTCCTGCCATGCCAAACAGTAGGCAAACAGGCTCCTCCACTGCCCCTCTCTTCTCAGAACCCTGTCCTCTATTTCCTTAGCCCTGCTTCTCTCAAATTATGCTTTCCCCTGTTTACCCATCTACAGGCATATCTTATCAAGTCTACAGGCCAAACCCTTGTCCAATGGGAAAGAAGCCTAGAGTGCAAAATTTATGAAGGCACTCACTCAGGGTTGGGCAAGTGCTTCTTTAACTTTGCACCCTACACCCCTCATTTGTTCACCAGAGTCCCAGGTGTTGGAGGTAAAGCATGGTATACCTGGGTAACTTGGAATCTACTCCTTAAGCTCTGCAGGAATTTAACCAGCCTCAACAACTAGCACCTTATTGCTGGTTTAATAAACATATATTGCATGCTCGTTCCCCTCCGTCTTCAGCTTTGGCCTACAATTCCAGGAAACAGAAAAAATATCCTGCAATATCCTGTTACATACAGAACAACAGAGAGACTTTACTCCCAGTTTTTCACTGTGAAACACAGTTCAGTGACTTATCTCATGTGCACACTGTTTTACTTCATTTAAATTATCTCTGCATGTTTAGTATCAGCAATAAGATTATCAGCAATAATCTATCAGTAATTTGGGGGGAGGCATTGGATACTGCCAAGGTTCTATTTAAAATAATGTTACCAATTGTCACTATGAACTTGCATGGTTGTTTTCATTTTCCCACAACCAGACACACATATAGGTATTCGTGTTTGTGGTATACAAATCCCATTGTTATACAATAAGATTTTTTTTTTTTTTTTTGCTTAACTGTGGAATATGTTACATGTTTATGCTGGTTGTTTCATCTTTTGACTTATTTCTAGAGGGCAGTTTTATTTTTCATCTAGTTTGTATGTTTGAATATTCTGGCATCCTGGACGAATACTAGCAAATTACCTCATGTTAACTAAATTCTCAGTTTTGTTTTCTCTCTTGCCTTTTTTTTTTAAAAAAGTCTTTGGATATCATCATTATGCTATTCCTTTGTTACAAATAATTTTTCTGCTTATTTTCCACATTCATACCTATGCTGAAATTCAGCAAGTTGTATAAAGAATTAAAATTGGAATATGTGAATTATTTATTAATGAACAAACTTTACAACTGACCAGTATCTCCATCATGCCAATATATAAGGTTATAAAGTTTTAAAATGCATATAAGATAAAAGAATATTAGCTAATAGGAGCAAAAATATTTTCATATATTATAAATTTCCCAAAGTGAGACTCAATATTAATTAGTTTTTCAACCAAAAATTTATTATTACTGTTGACAAACTACAGATTTAAGTACAATGAGAAAAAAGTTAAATAGTAAATGCAAACAATTTAACTCTTAAAATTATTGCACCTGTTTTCAAGGTTATTACAATGCTATATATAAATTTAATTCTTAATTTTAATATTCTGCTTGTTTATACTTCTGTGTAGATGTGTGAATTTCTTTTGGAGGAATAGAAACACTTTAACCCAACTTCAAAAGATAATAATAATGAACAAGTCCAAATCCTAAAACATGATGATCAAAGATAAAATAACAGATATGACTAAAGATTCCAATAACTTGGTTTCCTGGAATCATGACCCATTTTAACATGATTTATGCCCAAATATGTATGTCATCAAGATGTCAAGAAATATGAAACAAGATAGTTAAATACCATCAAAGATGTAATTAGTCATTTGGATATATGCTAAAAAGTTTTAGAATAATTATTCAATAGTACTTCATAAAATATCTTCACATTCTTTAAATTTAAAAGGTAAATTTTACTAAATTTGAGAGTTGGTATGCTCTCAAATACTTGAAAGTATACAATATTAGTATACTTGATTAAAACCAATTTAATAAATTTATTATAATTAGCATTACCAGTTTTCTTTCTTAATTGGGAAGGAATGAACATAAAATAAAGTGGCTAAGATTTACAGATTCACGTAACAATGGTATTTATAGCCTTATTTATGTTTTGTAAAGTTCTGCATGACTATTAACAGGTAAATCAAATTAAAATTTATCTTGAGTGGTATATGATTAAATCAAAAGTCAGTCAGTAAGCATTCTTGAATATGTCAAATCAACTGTCTTTCAACTGAAGGTAATAATTGACTTTTCAAACTGATTTAGACAAAAAATAATAGAATTCCCAATGAATAAACCAACCCTTTGGTAATATTTGATATTTCATACCAGTTGTGCTTTATTCAAGATTTTACTTCTACCTAAAAATACTAAAGAATGAATGATGTATATTTTTGGTGCACAGAGATTGTTTAAATTAAATTATATGAAATATATTGTTTAGATTATAAGATCCATAAGCTTTCTGCACTGTTTTTTAATTGAAAGCCCCTGTAAAGAATTCCAGAAACCCATAAGTTACATTTTTGTTTGAATCTTTTATTTTCCAAAGTGTTTCCAAGTACCTTACCTGCATTGATGCTCATGTCTACTCTATGAAATAGAAAAGGGCAGCGTCATCTGTTTGTTTTCGTCTTCTCATGAGAAACTGAGCCTATCTTACATATCCAGTCTTCATCTTATGATACCCTACTTTGAATCCCACAAAGCATAGAATGTAGCATGCCATTAGCTTATTTTATATTAAAATGTTCGTAATGTTGATAACGTGATGTCCCTTACTTTCTAGATATATTTCCATCATCCCTCAAATCCCAAAATATTAGCGATTGACTTTTTAGTTATTTGATGACACTGTTCCCGCTCCCCTGTGTCGGGGATGATAGTGCCACAAGGAGAGAAACCACTGTCCCAAATGTCATAGTTAAATTTAATTCCAATTATCTACTTTATTCTCTAATCAAATATCTAATAGATAGTAATAAACGTTAATTACAAAAGGAATAAGCCAAATGTTCTCATTTATTTACATTTTATAATGCAGCTATTACAGCTGATCTTCATCTCCCCCCAAAAAAGACTTTTTTTTTTCTTTTCTTGACTTCTAAACCTGATTATTTTATTTCAAAAGTGGTTAGTGGTCAGAGAGGGGAAAAAAAAGGTAACAATTGTTTCAGTAGATCAGCCAGGGTATATTATGGCTGGGAAAATTTCAGGAGAATAGAAAAGAAATAATTTGTTTCACTCTTTTCTTTTTTAAGGAGTTTAGGGGAGAATGAATTGGACCGTCAGCCTTTCATGAACTTCTCAAAAGAACAGGAACATGAGGAGGCAAAATGGTGATGCAAATGCACAATTCAGTCTACCACAATACGGTAAGCATTCCCAGCTTTAAACCATGAAGAAAACTAAATTGACAATTAGTGGGGGGGGGGGGGGGGGCGGGAAAGTGGTAAATCAAAGAACATAATGCAAAATGGACTCTGGAGGGATGAAAGTCCATATGGGTCCTGCTTCCAGGAAAGGCCAGTCCCACTGATCATTGGTTCACTAATGGCCAATAGTGTTTCAAGGTGAAAGGAAGGCTGGGTCCGGGAGCCAACAGGAAGAAAACAGGGTTGAGACTTGGAAATGGTGTTAAGAGAACATTTGGGCAAGTGAACATAAATCAAAGAAAAAATGAATTAAGAAAAATGCTTATAGAAAATGAAAGGTAGACATAAAATACTAAATCAGATAAAAACCTGCAGATTTTATATTTAGCCATCTTCTCAATTATAGTAATGATTTTGAAAATTTAATGTTTTCTTTTATATGATTTGGCAGGGTGATAATTACCCTCAGTGAGATGACAGACTGGTTTTAACTCTTACATCTCCATGTTTCAGAGTTTATTTGAGGCAAAGTCTGATTTTTAAGAACAGCTACTGCTTATTTTGCTCAGGTTGCTTATTGCCCAGTGTGATGGGACCATTCATGGCTTATCCATGTGATGTACAACCTGCACAACCCATACGTGTTGCCTCCAATTATATGTGTACATAAGAAATGAAACAACATAATAAATGTTACTCTTGGGAACAGCAATGGATTAGGAGCCCTAATATCTTCATTCAGGCCACAGATCTGCTCGCTCCTAGCTGGATAATACTATTCATATCAATTAGCCTCTCTGAATCCAGAGTGCTTCTTAGGGAAATGGTGACAATAATATTTACCTTCCCAATCTTACACAGTTTTCTGGGTTAGTCAAAGAATGTTTTGTAAAATTTTAAGTTTTATATAAATGCACATTATTATTTAGAAGATTAATGCAACCATAGGATAGTCACTTGTCACATATATGGATTTTAATATCTTTAAGAGCATGACATATGTCACGTAAGCTACTGTCACAAAGCTAAAAGTATATATTTAATAAATGATTTTTTAATTAAATGGTTGACAGTAATGTACTGTCTATTGCAAATGTTGTAAGTTTATAGTAATTTATAATTCTACACATTAGATTTTGAAAATCTCAATGGTACCCATTCTCCTTAGTATTCTTTTTTAAAAGTTTTTATTTTCCAAGTACACTGATTCTCAATTATGATGGAAAATATCAACAGTTACTGATTCAAGACCCGCTTGCCCTGCAAAGTCTACTTTGTAGCTCATCTTCCTTTTCAAGACCTCTAGATGTTGGAACACTTTAGGAATACATCTTCAGCCCTCTTCCTTTCTTTATCCATATCTCCACTCAGGTTTTCTCAACGGGTCCCATATATATATTTTTTGAGACATAGTCTCATGCTTTCACCCAGGCTGGGGTGCAGTGGCACAGTCACAGCTCGCTGCAGCTTCCACCTTCCAGGATCAAGTTATTCTCCCACCTCAGCCTCCCTAGTAGCTGGGACTACAGGCATCAGGTGTGTACTGTTATGCCCAGCAAAGGCTGGTCTCGAACTCCTGAGCTCTAGTGATCCATCCCCCTCAGTCTCCCAAAGTGCTGGGATTACAGGTTTAAAAAAAAACAAAAACAAAAACAGGCCAGGCACGGTGAGATTACACCTGCAATCTCAGCACTTTTGGGAGGCCGATATGGGTGGATCACAAGGTCAAGAGATGGAGACCATCCTGGCTAACATGGTGAAACCCTGTCTCTACTAAAAATACAGAAATTAGCTGGGCATGGCGGTGTGCCTGTATTCCAGCTACTCGGGAGGCTGAGGCAGGAGAATCACTTGAACCCGGGAGGCAGAGGTTGCAGTGAGCCAAGATCGCGCCACAGCACTCCAGTCTGGTGACAGGGTGAGACTCTGTCTCCAAAATAAAATAAAATTTAAAAAAGCTAACATATGCAAAAGTCTCCCAGATATTCATCCAGCCCTGAATCCCCTATGATTTCTTACTTAGATATCAAAGAGCTATAAATCTCTCCTTGTATGTCTACTTAATGTTTCAAAATAGATATCTACTAAATTAACTATTTGATGTTCCATCTAAACTTGTTCCTCCCCAAATCTTTCCTATTATAGTCCTACTATACCCTTGGTTGCTTAGACCAAAAATTTGGGGGTCTTACCTATGTCCAACCCATCAGCAAATCCTATGTGTCCTACTCCAATACATACCCCTAATGATGCCCTTTAAAATGCTACGTGATTGGATCCCTGGCCAGTATTTCAAGCTTGTTTACATAAAACAGGCCTTTTTACTTATCACTCTTCATAGCATATTATCCCTCCTAGAAATTTTATTTCTCTGTTAATTTACGTTTCTCTCTCTATTAGGAAAATATTTTTTTTCAGTTTTATTCTTAAGTCAATATATTGAACTGGAATAGTGCCTAGCATAATTATGGTAAGCACTCAATAAACCTTGCGAATGAATGAATGAGTTGATAGCTGTAATATGAATCCCTGAATGAAACAGGCCTAGAATTGATGGGAATGAGATTGACAGCTGCACATGACCATCAGCGTCCTAGACTGGGACATGTGTATAGGTGTGTTTTCATATGTACATTATTTCTTTATGAAATACATTCTTGGCATTACTTTTGACTTCAGAGTCAAAAATGTCAAATTATTTCAAATAAATAATAAAATTCTGTTTTCAACTCAAGATAATTCTATAAGTATGAAAGCTCCCAAAACAAGGCAAAAGAAACTGTTTTTGATTCTATTTTGAATTTTTCATGTTTCCAGCCACCCCTCTCTAGCTTCTGAATGTTTACACTGATGAACAGATTTTGTGTCTTTCTTCCCATAACTAAAAATGATGTTCAGACTTGATAATAGTGATTATAAGAAGTATTATTATGCCAATTATTTCAAATTGTGCAATAGTCAAAGCACATAAAAATATGTCATGGCAATAAATCTGTTTTCCTACTCTTTGTAATGTCTTATTTGCCCTAACAACCTTTCAGACAACAGCTATAATAAGTGGACTCTCAAGCGTGATTTGCATCTCTCCCATCACAAGAGTAGTGTCTGTTTCAGAACTTACAGTTGTGTATGGTATATTTAAACGATCCCAAATAATCGTCCTCAGAGCTGTCCTGACCTCACTGATAATGAGTTTTACAGCCCTTTATATTGTAGTTTGCCTGGGCCTGAAATATATTAATTACCAGACATATATGAAATGTGCGGTTGTAAAATCCCTGACTTCTCTCTCCTGAATCTAATAATCACTAAAATATGTATTGTTGCTTTCATGTCACATTTACCTGGTGCTTGTTTCCCTTTCTATATTTCGTATGTTGTTTGATGGTTCTTTCTCCAGTCTCTCATGCCAGAAGAGACATTCCTTAATGCCTGGCTTTCCTTCATTTCATATATCCAGTTGGTTACTTTATCTTCTCAATTCATCATACAAAATGGTTCTGGGATTTATGCTCTTTTCATTAGTACCATGGCTGCCTTTAAAAACTAACCCATTTTAGTCTCACAGAGGTGCACTCACCTGGCTTCTAACACTGCCACCACTTTGCCATAAAATCAGAGAGGAATTAGCTTAGAATCATGTCACAAAGCCTTCTCCCTGAAAGCAAAATGGTTGTCTTGTTGCTATATACCCAACGACAGAGGTACCATTTGAGACAGGAGATTCTACAGAAAGAGTGTAAGTTGTGATACCAGACAGACAGGCAGGGTTTTAGATCCCATTTTAGGGGCATACCACCACCTCTATCAGTGGTGTAGTATTGGATAAGTTTGCCTCTCTGGAACTTAGTTTAACTGTGTTTTACTTTGAGATAATAATTCATATTTCATAGGATTGTTGTGAAGACTAAATAAGATCATGTGTATTAAAAAATATTTGCTGTAATGTATTGAACGCTCACTAGAGGATAATTTCCTTCTTGCATTCTCCTACCACTTCTAGGCACCATCAATGGTACCAGAACCTGTCTGCAGAAACTCTGCCTGCTTTCCTAGTTCTCCTGTCCTGCCATCATTTGGCGACCAAGGATATCTTTATTTCTCAAACAGTATTAGAGAACCTGTGTGAGACCATATTCTGTCTCAGGGAACCTGTTTGATCAATGCTTCTGCAAATCTTCTTTCTATAATAGCTGGAAACTGTTTCTCTTCATGCCATTTTCTTGCTCATATATCAGTGATTGGTTTCCCCTAGGTTACAAGCAAAAATAAATATTTCATAGCTTTTTCTACTCTACCCTTGCATATTTTTATGAAATCAGCTTTGCTAGTCATTCTTTTTGCCTGCTTGGCTTTCTCATAAAGTCCATGTTCTTTTAATCCTCGGTACTTTCCACAGCCAGCATCTCCAATTAGAATGCTTTTCCCTGCTTAAATGTGCTGTCAACGCCCATTATTCTCAGATCAAGTCCTCTACAAAGCATTGCCAATCTTTGCTTTATCTCAGAAAGTAGGTGTTTTCCAGCTTAGTGTTCCTATCCCTGCAGTGCACTTTGATACATCTCTTTAAGCCTGTATCTTGCCATATTGGTACTATTTGTCTTACCCACTATCCTGTAAATTCCTTGAATAGATAACAGACCACAGCATCTAGAATGTACTTGAAAGTCCACAAGTAGCAGATAATGGAAGGTGTTGCTATAATTGTTACTATTTTGGAGACATGGTCTTGCTCTCTCACCCAGGCTAGAGTGCAGTGGTGTGCTTTTGGATCACCATAACCTCTGCCTCCTGGTCTCAGTAGATCCTCTCACCTCAGCCTCCCAAGTACCTGGGACTACATGCATGGGCCACCATGCCTGGCTAATTTGTGTATTTTTTGTAGAGACAAGTTTCTGCCATGTTGCCCAGGCTGGTCTCAAACGCCTGAGCTCAAGTCATCTGCCAGCCTCAGCCTACTAAAGTGTGGCAATTACATGTTTGAGCCACCTCTATCATTA